CTACTGTGATCAAAAAGTAAGGTGAATTTTTTTATAAAATGAAAAATCTTTATTTATTCTTCCAAATCTGTATCGTTCCCCTCAAAATAAAATCCCCCGGCCCCAATGCACTTTTGCCAACGTTTTTTCCAATCTTCGAAGCATGCCGAAAAGTCCTCAGTAGGGATAGCCTTCAATGCGCGTGCCGATTCACGTTGGATCTCTTCAATGGACTCAAAACGATTTCCCCGGAGTGGTCTCTTGAGCTTTGGGAACAGCCAGAAGTCACACAGTGCTAAGTCGGGCGAATATGGTGGTTGTGGAGCAACATAGGTAGAGTTTTTGGCGAAAAAGAACCAGTGCTGTGTGCGAAGGCGCATTATCGTGGTGCAAAATCCAAGAGTTATTGGCCCATAATTCCGGTCTCTTTTTGCGAATAGCTTCACGCAAACGTCGCATAACACTTAAATAATATTCCTTGTTGACAGTTTGGCCAGTTGGAAGGAATTTGTAGTGCACGACACCACAATAATCAAAGAAAACAGTCAACATGACCTTGATTTTTGAGCGACTTTGACGTGGTTGCTTCGGTCTTGGCTCGCCTTTTTCACGGTATTCACTCGATTGGTCGGTTGTTTCAGGGTCGTATGCGTAGACCCAAGTCTCATCGTCAGTAATAATTCGTTTGTAGACGTCTTGATAGTCAGAAAACATTGCTTCACACGCTTTAACGTGACGCTCTTTTTCAAAGAAATTGAGAAATTTCGGCACCAAACGTGATTTGAGTCTTCTGAGGCCCAAATGATCCTTCAAAATCGCTTGCACCGACCCAAATGATATTCCAACCATGTCAACAAGGTCTCGAATGGTTAACCGACGATTGGCAAGCACCAATTCTTTGATTTTGTTGATGTGGCGATCATTAATCGAAGTCGATGGTCGTCCGGAGCGTTCCAAGTCATCAACACGTTCTCGGCCTTCTTTGAAGTCTTTGTACCACTTGTAAACATTTTTTTGAGACATAGTCTCTTCACCGAAGGCCTTTTGCAACATTTGATACGTTTCAGCAGCAGAAATATCATTCCGCAAACAAAATTTAATTCGTGAAAATCGCCGAATGCACTTTTGGTACTTCAGAAACAAGCGTAAACAAAAAAAAATAATTATGAGTTTGACATGTAATTTGGCGCAAATGTTAATGACATTCCTACCAACTTAAAAATAAAAAAGATTGGACGATTCAAATTAGGCGGGAAGTTTAAATTCAAAATTCACCTTACTTTTTGATCACAGTAGTATATATATATATATATTTTAATTATTTTGGAAATTTGTTTTTGAATAATTATTGTTTATAAAGCGTTATTGAATAAAAAATAATAATGAATAATAAAATTTTAAATAAATTAAAATTTTGAATAAAATGAAATTAAAATTAACATTTCAACTTATTTTAATTACAAGATCATAAAATAGACTAAAGTGCCTACTTTGATAAATGGTTTAAATTTAATAACTACTTTGATAAATGGTTTAAATTTTTATTTCAAAACTAAACTTTTTTCATACAATTTTCTAGGATGTAAAGTAAAAAACAATTTTGAAACTGGTTTATAATGCCTCTGCCATAAATGGTATAACTAAATAAAAGTGTTTATATGCGGCATCTCTTTTTGACCATCTTGTTTTGCACATCCCTATCAAAATCTTTTTTCTTTCAGTTGATTTACATTGGATCTCTGCAATATGCTCCAGCAAGCGCTCTCTTTTCAGAGGTATTTAAATAAGTGGATATATTTTTGTATACCTCCAAAATGTTATCAATCATTGGTATTTTTGATGTTGCAGCAATTGATAAAATTCAAATTATGTGAGCTACAATGTGTAACAATTGCTTTTGGTGATCCTTTTAAAATATAGCTGGCAACACTTTTTTTTACAAATTGCCTGTTTGGTGCGCCATTGTAACACTGGCCTCTACAAGAACTAAAATCAATTCCACTTTCGCTATAAAATTTCATCAAGCTTTCCCCAAATATGTTTGCCTGTTATCCTGTCAAGATTCAAAAGTCAAGAAATACTTCTCTATTTTCTTTTCTCCGTTTACGTATCTCATACATACTGATAGAATTTGTTGGTTTGTAGTTGTTACCTCGTCTGCTGAAATCGAATAGTAATTTGCAGCTTTGATTTCATTAATTAGCCGCTCTTGTATACATTTCTTTCTAATTATATCAATTAATTCATTTTGACTCTTGGGGACATGGTAGCTTAAATTTTTGCATAATGGTGTTTGTATATGTGCATTAAGTTTTTAAAGTGATATTTCTTTGTAATGGAATGTTTTGTCTTGGATCTTCAAAACAACAACAAATGCCATTAGCTTGTTCGTTAGGTTTTTTACGGTATCTACTGCCTATATGTACTTTTTGTTTCTCTAAAACATTGTGCCATTCTTTATATCCACGGTTAACAAAAGCTCCCAAAGATTTTTTTTTATCCTGCTTTAGAAAAAAATTGCCGTATATACAGCTGACTACGTCTTCACTTTCGTAGTAGACAAATCCATTTTGTAAACATTCTTCTTTTCAAGCGCGTTTGCAACCATGTTTTATTTTTTTTGGAAATTGAAAATGTATCTTCTATTTTAAGTTATTCGTAAACATTTTGTATATTTCACGTGGTGATAATTCTTGATTTCCGCGCAAGAGTTCATCAATATCATATCGTTTTTTCTTCTTTTTTAAAATCACATTATTTTAAACTTGTTTGGTCTACTTCGCATGACAAGCTTTTGTTAACATTATTATCATCTTTAATGACTTCCTCTTTTTCTTCTACTTCGGGTAATGCTTTATCGGTTACATTTTGAGAACTGTTGATAATAAAAAAACACTTGAAACGTAAGTAATTAATAATAAACTTTTAGATCTTAAACTACATCAAAACTAAAAAAACTCGCGTAAACATTATAACAAAAAACAAGTTATAACAAAAGTACCATCATAAAAAAATTTAACGTGTAGTTAGTTTCTAGGGGAGAGTTGCTGAAATTTGAACAGCGCCTTAATTGGAACACTTGCATTTATTTTTGAAAAAAAAAATGAATTATTTGCATTTTTTTAGTAAAACGCATTATTTTCCACGTTTTGACACATTTTAGAAGTTCCTCAAAAAATGCATTTGCACCATTGATTTTAAGTTTTTTTACGTCATTTTTTTTCAGTGATCTAATTTTGTGTTCACACTATATTGATTGCGCTGGGTAAATTATGGTGTTATAGGTTATACCGCTTTTTGTGTTTAATTCGATGGAATTTAAAATGCAAAATAACTATATAATTTTATCTTATCTAAGTTGCTGCAAGCATGTTATTGTTGTGATATAACAAAATAGTTGAGAATTTTCTTGATTAGAACATTGAAGTTTTCCATACCCAATCAGTAATAAAATCAAAGGGTTGTAAAAATAGTTTGAATACAATTAAAAAGAACATTTAGTAACAACCATAAACTTTAAAAATAATACTTTATTTAGTGATTTTTATTCAATAAACTAAGACAACGTCATAATAGTTGAAGCTTTATACAATTTTTTGTTTGTAGACTTTAAATTTGTTAGGATAATACTAATCCTATAATAAGTTTTGAATTAACTGTTTAAAATTTCACTTAAAGATGATAATCGTTTTTGACAAAGTTTGTTAATTTTACTGTTTTTTTTTTAAAAAAAAAAAAATCTGTTTAGATTAAGGAATCAAAGTGTTCCAATTTAGGAAACCAGTTGCCTTGATTGGAACAAAATGCTAACTTTGCAAAAACAAATTTATTTCAAATAACAGTGCAATCAATTAAGTCAAATTGTAGTTAAAAGTATAGTAGGATTGCCTGTTTGTCTTAATCAAATCATAAATGTTTTTATACTTAAGCCATCTTTGGGTAATAAATATTTATTCCTTAAGTGTTCCAATTGAGGCAACTCTCCCCTATATCTAGTTAATATCAAACTAATTATTGTAAAAAGAAGATCAAAATAATATTTTTCATTTTTCGTTTACAAAGGATTTCATAATGCAATGACTTGTAATGACGCCTTACGTTTGTGAAACAATAAAGTAAAAAATGTTTCATGAGAATGATTCATAAAAATCAAATAATTATCATAAAAATTTGATTAAATACTTTGACATCAAAAAGAGTCTAGAAATAATTTTTGGCGTCAAATTAAAAGTCACTTTGCATAAAAAGGGGGGTCGAACGCAATGCTGATGTTTAATAAAACTTTTATGAAATTATTGTAATCGTTATTTTTATCATTACTAGGTCAAAAAGACCCTTTTGCCCTAGTTCAATTTCAGAAAGTTGTTTCTTTTCCATATTCTTAAGAATATGGAAAAGAAACACCTTCTAAATTTTCGAAATTTTGTACTTTTATTTTTAAAAACTGTTAATTGCCAACAAACAACTTGATTATAATTAACTTTACTTTGATTGTTAACTTTACTCTGAATTAGTTTTTAAATTTTAAAATCGTTCTATCTTACGAAAAAACTAGTTCCATTTTAATAATTTTTGAACATTGTAATTTATCATTACAATGTTCAAAAAGTATTTAAATAACTTGACTGTAGAATATAAAAAAAAACAACGCAATAAATATTAGTATTACTGATCAAAATGCTTACAAACCAGATTAGAAATAAAAATGTTATGATAACTAAAAATCGCAAGATTTTTTAGCTTTTTAAAATCAAATTATATTTAGATTGGAATGGTGTCTGGAATTTAATCATTCATTTCTGATGAGTCTTTATTGACAAAACACTGTGTTAAATAAAAAATTTGTCAAATTTTGTATAAACGAAAAATCTGGAATTTGACGCCTGTTAATCTTGCTCTATAATCTTTTCTCTCTTAGTAACTTTCAACTCTAATAGGGGTTGCTTGCAGCTTTGTTGAAAGTGAATATGTTGAAAAAAAAACTATTTTATTATATTAAACTGTATAATATAAAATCTTGATAACCATCTTACATTTTATATAAATTTTTAAAGGTTGCTTTAGCAATCTTTTAAAAATGAAAAACACCAAAAATATTACCAATGGACAGCACTATTTTAACAATACCCTGAATGATATCAAAAACAGATTATCTTAACTCTCACCGTGGGTAAAGTCAATTAAAACTAAATTTTTAGAAAACTGTAACTGTTATAAAATTGTAACACATAGTTTTACAAATGCAAAACATTTAAAAAATAAAACTGTTATTTATAAAAGAAGTTTTAACACAAGAACAAAAAATGTAAAAGTAAAAGAAGTAATACAAAGAAGTATAATAAATATTATATATATTATATTTATATGCAATATCTTTAATAAACTTCATCTTTACACAGATGTGTCAATTAATCTACAGAAAAAGCATTATCGTCAATTTCCTCCATTGCTAGTTCGTATGCACATGCAAAATGAAAATTACAGTTATCGTAAGCAAATTTGTGTGCCTGATCTATGTACTTATTAGCACAACCGTATGTATCTATAATTTTTGCTATTTCTGATTTATGGTCTTTGATGTACTTTGTAACACCTTCTATATCGTTGTTTTTTGCAAACTGAAACAACGCTAGTTGTATTTCATCATCAGAAACAACTTTTAATATTTTATTCTCTGTTAAATTGAGTTCTATAAATAAACAATTATCTTAACTACCTGCTACTACAACCGCCAGCTTCATACAGACATTTACTAAATTAGTTAAAAGGTGGTTTGATAAAAAAGCACTACATTATAAACAATACTCTTATGAAAACGTCAATATAAACGATGCACAAAATCACACGACAGTATAAACAAAAATAGAAATACACGACAATATATACAATACACAAAAATAAACGACAATATAAATAATGGAAACAACATAAATTAATAAAACTTAAAAACCGTTTTTTTTTTAAATGTTTTCTTTTGATATCTTATTAAAGTTTTTTATTTTCGAATATCTCAAGAACATTTTTTCTTTTAGCTTAGCTTATGGTTGTTCTATTTATACATTATTTTTCTTAAATTTATATTATTTTCATTGTTTTCACTTCATTAGTTTTTTGTAAATCTTCTATTCTTAACAATTTTTCTTTTTTTTCTTTTTTTCTATTTTTTAGCTTTTCGCCGTTAAGAAAATGCTTCCTCCATTTTTATTCCAAATTGTATTATAATTATTATTAATGAAAGCTTACTAATAATGCAGAAAAGCTTTACTTATCTGCATTATTAGCAAGCTTTTTAATCTTTTCAATTAAAGAAATTTTTAACTTTGCAACTAAAGAAATTTTAACTTTGGTTTTTATTGTTTTGTATTTGAATTGAAGACATTATTTCAATTTGCACAAGTTTAAATACTTTATAAGCAGATCAGGGGTCTTAATAAAATTTTTTTAATAAGGACATGATAGAAAACTACAAATATTTAAAATGAAACACATTAAAAATTTTTTATATTAGGATTACTTTATGGAAGATCCCAAAGAAAATTTTAAAATTACATTAAATTCCGGTTAAGTCAAATACTGGTTAACTCAAACTTTTGTTATCTCGAACTGTTTCATTTGGTCTTTTTATATTGACTAATTGATTACTATTAAAAATATCCGGGTAACATCGAATCTTGGATAATTCGAACTTTGTTAAGTTGAACCATTTTTTCACCCCTTTTCAGCAAACTTATTCAGTTTTTTAGAATTCATTTCATATAAAACATAAATAACAGTAGCCTAATATTTGCTATATATATTTTTTTGATGTATTAAGATCTGAATAAAATAGTACTTACTAAAAAAAAAGTAGAAACATGTACCTTGTGTAGGATATGCGATAAACCCTTAGTAAGGTATAATTTTCACCTTCTATGGGAGAAAAATGTATGGTGAATTATTGATATAATTTTCTACCGTAGAAAGTATAAAGTTATACCTTACTAAGGGTATATCATATATATTCTATCCTAAAGTAAAAATTTCTACCTTTTTTTTTGGCGTGTAATTAGATTTGAATATAATAGCTTGTTATTAGACATAATAAAATAGTGCTATAAAAAAACTGTTATAAAACAAATCTCAACAAAATAACGTTAAAAATTTTAAAGTTTTAATTTCTTAATAAGAGATAACTTCTTAATAAAAGAGAGCTAGCTTTTAGACAATATTATAATAAAAAAATATTTCAACAAAATAATAATATAACAATTGATATAACATTGATATACTTAATATTTAAATAAACACTCATTTGATTATTTGCAACAGTGAGTGTTAAATAACAATGTTTTATCTGTGCCTAAAGTTTTAGTTGCACAGGCTGTTGATGTTTGTCAGTCTCAATTGTTATTAAATTTAATTTTTATATTTTGTGAAGAACTCTAAACAAATAAAAAATGCCTAAATTAAAAATGTACCGAATAGATAGATTTACAATTCTTTATAACGTCTTATATCATTTCATTTCAGCATCTACCCAGTTTTTTTAAATTAGTGAAAATTTTTTAACTTTCTTATCTTATTATGTAAATACTTTTTTGTGTCACAAAATAAATGAATTAATATTTTATCGGTAGTCAGTAAAATGCGAACTGCGAACCGCGAACCGCAAACCGGTAAAATGCGAACTTTTTTGCAAATTAAAACATTATATTTTAATGATCACAATAATATATATTAAAGTTATATTAAAACTTTTTCTCTTCAATTCTTTCTTTTATTAAATTAAATATAATGGAATTAGATTTATTTAAATCTTTACCCGCTGAATTCTCTGTTCCGTACAAACCAAAAGCTGGTACTAATTACATTTTCTCGTGGACTAATGACAAGGATAAAGGTAACATATTTGAATATATATATATATATATATATATATATATATATATATATATATATATATATATATATATATATATGTATATATATATATATATACATATATACATGCATACATACATCAGGACACAGCCAGGTGTCATAAACCAAACTAAGGAAAGTACAGGTTCTGTCCAAAAAGTATACAAAGACATAATATTATTAAATAAAGCTGATATAAATATAACAGCAATTCCACGTAACATGGAACAAATCAGTAATACTTTAATATCAACACGCAATCAACAATGTTTATCTAGAGATAATTTATGAGATAGTTTATATAATCTTCATGAATTAGCATATGATACAAATTTTATTCATAATATAATAACATTTCCTGATTTGGTTGTAATTATGTATTCAGATGAAACACTGCAAATTTTTCAGCAAGTGCTGAAATTGTCTCAACTACCTCAGCAACTACCATATGATACAACTTTTTCTTAAGGCGACTTCTATCTTTCTGTTTTGCTATTTAGAGAAACTGAGTTTGACCGAAGTCCAATCATTCCACTAGCTATTATGATACATGAGCGGAAAACACTAATGCCCCATTCCATATTTTGGCAACATATGAAATCAGTATGCCCAAAACTTGCTTCAAAGAACACTTTTATTGTCAAAGATCAAGAACAGGCTATAACAGAGGCCATCAAAGATAGCTTTCTACCAGTTCCACATTTTCTTTGTTGGAACTATGTTTTGCAGGACCGTAAGCGATGGTTACAATTGCACGGATTGAAGACTTAAGATGAATCAGCTTATTACACTGAATGTATTTGATCTCTTTTTCATTTTGATTCTAAATTTTCATATAAAGATAAACTAATAACAATGTTATCAGGATGGAGTCAGCCTTTTTTTGAGTACTTTATCGAAACAATTTATAGTGTAGTAGACAAACTTGGATCTTGGAGAATTAAACAATTTGATTTTCATGAAATTACAACAAACCATAGTATGGTGGAAATTTATCGTGCTCGAAAATGAACTGGCCAATATGAATTAAGAGCTGAGTTGAAAAGTGCTTATGAAGAATGTGATCTTCATATTCTAGATACAACAACACCAGAACAAATTGTTCAATGCATAAAAGAAACCATCAACAATCAATTTAAAGTTATGCATGATACATCTAAAAGTGCAGAGTTAATACAAGATACAACTATGATTAGAAATCATTAGAAATTCTCATATTGCTCTTGACCCCAAACTTGCGACCTTTAATGTGAAAGGATCTATAGAACCACGTGTGGTAAAACTGTTTCCGAAAGAGACATGTTCATGTCCAGCTGTAAGTAGTTACAATCATATCTTGGCAGCACGCCAGGCTATTGGTCTAGCTGTTTCAAACAATAACAAAAAACAGGTTAATCTAACACAACTTCGTCAAAATACAAGAAAGAAATCTGACAAAACAGGAGTAAAAAAAAGACCAATAACACTTGATATTAAAGTTATTCCACTAGGAGATGCTAATCCAGACGAAATAAAAGATTTGATAGCTAAAGTTAATGCCTAAAGAAAAATATGATATATATATATATATATATATATATATATATATATATATATATATATATATATATATATATATATATATACATATATATATATATATACATATATATATATATATATATATATATATATATATATATATATATATATATATATATATATATATATATATATATATATATATATATATATATATATATGTAACAACTTTAAACGAAAGAAAAGTAAACAAAAATTATAAATAAAGTTTTTACATAGTTTATATATATACATATATATAAAATATTTTATATAGTGCATATAATATATAAAATATACTTTTAAGTAATTATATTTACATAAACAGAGTGTAGAATATATATTTATAGTAACAACACTTAAATGTTGTTTTTTTAAAATCATATCCCTTCTTTATGAATCTTTGTTATAATATATAAATCTGTAGAAGATAAACAAAGAACTATTTCTTCATTAAACATCTTTTACAGATTTTTTCATACTAGTTTTACTCAATTTGCTTTTTTAAATATATGTTTTTTCTTGTAGTCTTTAAAATATTTCGGATAATAAACAATTCAATGGCAAACGAAAAATAAAGTATTACATCATTAACAACCAATAGAACCATAGTTCGCAAGAAAAGTCTGCATTTTACCGGTTCACAGTTCGCATTTTAACTAGTACTTATTGACTAAACCAACTTTTAGTCAATTTAGTCGAGCCAAAATCCTCAAAACTTTCCTATTTAACATTTCAATCTTTAATTCTTGTTGGTTCATTTGATAACAATAAAATTTATAAACTTAAATTTTATTGTTATGTATGTACTATTATCAATTTTTATCTTTATATCAAGTTTTATCTAAAATAATGCATTATATTTAATTAATCTTCGGTTATAAATTTAGATCTAAAAGCCAGACTTTGTAATGAAACTCGATTGAGGTTAAATGCACTTTAAAATAATTACATTGATGGGCAAGTTCTAACAGGTGTTTCTGCTGGCAAGAGGGTATTTGTTTCTTAACTCAGTCAAATTTAATTTTTACACTTTGTTCATTTAACTCAGTCATATTCAAATTTAACTTTTACACTAAAGGATCTTCCTGAAGAAAGGGTGGTACCCAATTAGGTACAAACTAAAACAAAGAAGGGAAGAAATGGGTAAGGGGAGGAGGATTAAAAAGGAGGGGTGGAGAGAAAGAAGTATGTGCGCGGTTCGCTTACTTCTTGTTTTCTATTTCTCCTAAACGTTTTTCCCTTTTTTTTTAACAAAAGTATTAAATTTCACAAATTTTTAAAAAAATCCTTTTGTTTTTAATGTTTTGAAAAATTTATGCCTCAGGGTGATTTTGTAAAAAAGGGTGATTTTGCCAAAAATAATGCAGAGGATTATTAGAAGGAGGGTCATTAAAAGCATATAGATGTGTACAAGGGATGGAAGGGGGAGTGCCCTAACACAATGGTTTTTAGTTCAGTATAATTAGCAAAAAAAGTCATGTTACCCAGAAAAATTAGTAGCAGGCTGAAAATTGCTGGAAATGTTCTGCATACATTCATTCTAAATACAGCATTCATTCTGAAATCCAAGATGACATCTAAAATAATGCCGAAAATGGTATTTGTAATATCTTAGCCTGTAGATGATTTAAAAACATGATTTTTGCATTTTGTAATATTTAGTATTTTGAGGTCAAGAAACTCATTTTCGATATTTTTTATTTTTGAGCTAAATAGCTAAATAATGGAAGCCAAAAAAAATATTTAAAGTAACACACTTTACGCATATGCTTTTTAATACACTTACATTGTTGTTAGTGTTAGCTCATATCCGTTTGAGATTAAAAATTATATATTATATTATATTTATTATAAAACGAAATTAATGTAGAAGATTTAATGCTGCAATTCTTAACTTTTTAAGTTAAGAATTGCAGCATTAAATTGTGAAGTTTGTTCTTTGATAAACTTTACATTTCTAAACAGAAATCTAAAATAAGTTAATTTATAAATAATCATATTAATTACAACTGTGAAAAGTTTATTCTTGTTTCCCTGTGACACTAAAGAAACTACTTTTACATTTTGACATCTAATTTTTTCAATCACATTTTTGAGCGAGCAAACAAATTTTAAGCTCAAAACAAGTCATCATGTTTTTCACAGTGCTATCTGGAAAATTATCAAAAACTTTTCTCCACTTTTAAAGCACCTCAAACTCAACACTGAATTTAAATTGCATCTTATTAAACTTGAAATTCCAAATAGCCAAAATTTTTTCTATAGGATGAATCTGCAGACAATTTAATGAGCTGAAATATAAAGGTATGATTCCAAGGCCATTTCAATGGTACCAATTCATTATTACATTAAAATAGTGACAACTTGCTATATCAGACCAAGACTGTACAGAAACATTATGGGATTGTATAAAAGAAGGAAGATACTTTTCCAGGCACTCCATCTTGTAGAATGTGGCATTCATTATAACCCCTGGTGACAAAAATTTAGCACAAAATAAATACAAGCAGTAATATTACAACAAAAAATTTAATGAACAAAATATTACTTCAAAAATTAAGCAATATAATAGCTTTTTACTTTCGGGACTGAAATAATTCTTTCTCGCCATTACTACGTACTGCTTCAACTTTTTTGTGTACATTTTCACACATGCCTTGTACAAAATTTTTATCAACTTTTCTTAAAAAAGAATAAATTCTTTTTTGCAAATGATCTTCATTTTCAGCTTTCCAATTGTTTTCATACACCTAGCATTTAAGGATTGACCAGAAATCTTCTATTGGTCGTTATTCTATGACACATGCCAGATTATCAACTTCAGCATAATGTAAAAAGGCTAAGTCAGGCCAGAATACATAATTATCATCACTGTGATGTTTGTTTATATAGGAATCAATCGTTTGATGATGTAATCATTTTTGTGCACTGTTAATTTAATTGTCAGTCTCGCAGGAACAATAAATGGTTTTGAGATTCCACGAGGGAATATGGTTCAACACAAGAATTCTTTTTTCAAATTTGCTTTTGCGCTTATATTTACATTTTTTTAGTGCATTTTTTTATTCATCTGAGTAAAATCCAGCATTAGAATTTTTATTCGTATGTTTAAATGTAAAATAAGTCACAGTTTCTGAATTTGCAACAAATTTTTTTACACTTAAGTTGCAACTGCTTTAACAGTTTATCAGTGCAATCAGGAATTTGTTTTTTCTTAAAATAAAAAAATGTTCGTTTTGTTTTTACAATGATCACACCTAAATTTATTTGCAATTTTTCTTGATGAATTTCCAGACCAGTTGTTCAAAAGACCTTTCAGACGATTGATGTTCTTAGGAGTTATAGTTTTTGTTTTTTGCCTGATCCCAGGCTTACAAGACTTTGGGTCATTGTTCTTTCACTTTGTCATATAACGTTTGATGGTTCTTTTGGGATGATTAGAAGTAACAAAATACTCTACAACGCTCTTCGTTTTAGCGTTAGGATGCAAATTACAATAGCTGTACACTTGTTCAATCAATGAAGTCGGATTCATTTTTGAATAAGTTTTTTATTAATTAATTTAAGTAAACAAAACTTTCAGTAAAAGATAACTAACACTTTATAAACAAAACAACTAAAAAAGTAAGACTGGATAACTAAAAAATTCTCAAAGATTGTGCCGAATTTTTGTCACCAGGGGTTATTTTTAAGTTAGAAATAGCTTCCATTTTTGTGCCACAACTATAAATTCCTTGCCAAATCATATGTTTCCTGAAAAGTTTATCTAATTTTGTATATGTATATGCATTGGTGACAGCTCCATGCATGATACTAACGCTAAATCTGTGAACAAGTCTAAAGTATAGTTCGAATTCATCAAGAAATAAGCATCATTAAACTTTTTAAGATGATGTTGTACAGTTTTCTTGCATGCGTTATATTATTTTTTTTGTTTTATTGAACAGTTTGAATATTTTTATTGAATAGTTTGGATATTTTTATTGAATAATAGTCTTGTTCAGGAAAACTTTTGTATATGTTTTTCATAAAGTATAAGTAACTAATTTTTTTTCTGTGTAAAAAGTTTATTTATATGTGTTTTTTTTATTTGGAAATTTGATAGCTATACAAGTTGAGTAAATGTTTATTTTGACTATCCTTAATATAGGTAAAAAGTGAAATAAGAAGCTACTCTTTAGTGGTGTGATAAGTAACGCAGATAGGTGAACGAAATAAAATGTAAAACCTAATACTTTATTGTTGTAATTAAGAAAAGATCCAAATTTTTCCAAAAATAAAAAACAGGATATGGGCAAAAAGAGAAATGTATTCTAATATTGTAGACTTTTTGACTAATAAAAATTATTAAGTACTTTATAGATATTATTAAACCTTATTCTACTTGTTTTCACAAGTTCTCTGGAAAAAAAACTTAAAATAATAAAATATATCAAACAGATATATTATTCTTATAAACCATTCTAGCATTCAATAATATTAAAATAAGTTTGATAAAAGCTAAACCTGATATATTAGGAATTTCATTTTTATTAGCTGAATGACTCGCTGTCTCAATGTCAACTGAAAATTCCTAAAAAATAATTTTAAACTACTGCATAGCTTTCCAAAATAAAAGAGATTTGATCACAAACAACAACTTTTTCAAGCAAAAAAGAAAGGAGAACTTAGGAAAAAACTTTTGTGAAATGCATAAATTGCTCCTGCAAATTGTTTTAAGGGAGTGTGGGCAAAAGTGATATATATATATATATATATATATATAATATATATATATATATATATATATATATATATACATATATATATATACATATATATATATATATATATATATATATATATATATATATATATATATATATATATATATATATATATATATATATATATATAATATATACACACATATATATACAGGCTTGGTCGGGAAGCGGGTGCGATCGCACTCGATAATTGACCACGGAAATTATATTTACTTGCGAAAAGCCGGCCAGATTTTTCAGGCGTTTTGAGAACATTTAAGTTTATTTATGTTTCCTTGTTTGTCCGCAAAATAATAAATTTATTATTTTATCGTAAATTTTGTTTTACGGACGTATATGGAAATTTATATAAACTTGAATGTTGTCAAACATCTTAGTGCGGAAAAATAAATAAAGAATATTCGCGAACACAAAAAACCCGCCAAATTTACGAACAACTCAATCTATTGGTTCAATTAATAAATAACTGAGATTACTAAAGAATTCAAGCGAATGTTCTAGAGTATTCTGTTGAATTATTTTTCAAAATCGTATAGTTTGAGTTTTGTTATGTTTTCGTTGAGATTTCTAGCATCAAATGTTTTAAGAATATACTATCAAACGAACAATTATTTTAATACAATGGCTTATTTTCGGAGTCACATCTACAAAGCTATAAATGTTTTAAACTAACATTTGTTTACAAAAATAAATGTTTTAAATTTATATTTTTTTAACTTGTCAACGTTTTGTAAAAATATTATAGATTTAATTAGTATAATCTTATTTTTTATATATAAGGGATGTATTTATATGTATGTAATGTATTAGAAATTGGTTTATTAACTTCAATTATTTTTGCTTCAGCCATTCTTATAAACTCGTTATACTTACACTTAAAGCTACTTTTTTCTGTAAAATACTAGTTTAAAGATATAAAGCCCACTCACTAAACATCATCAGCGATATTGTTAAGCAGTTCCGCTTCCTCCTTACAAAGTAATTTAACGTTTTTAGTTAATTTCTATCTAGCTAATTAAATTTTCACAGTAACAATGATTTAGTTATTTCATTTGTTCATCTTACTAAG